CGTATCGCGTCACGTCGTCGTCTCCTTATCTATCGGGTTTTGCATCCAGCACCAATGCCGCGGAAAATACGGGAATTTATGCCTTCGTTAACGGAACGTCCGTGGATACGGTGGATATAAAGTGCATCGTAAAATGTACATCATCTCGATTTATCATCGCGCTCGCGCACACGAGCAACAAGATACTTGCTCGCATTCCCTTCCGTCGCCAGTGCGTGGAACATCTCGAGCATGTCCAAGGTTGTTAACCTTCGCCATTGGCTTGGGCGAAAATTACGGGGTTTTTCGTTTTAGAGTTTTCCATCTTCGATGGAAAGAGAGATCGTGCGGTACGAGTGAAATGAAAATGAAACAATACAGTACAGACACAATACAGACTTTACAGCTTATCGAAAGATGTTATGTTTTATTTGCGGCGATGAGAACGCGTGACAACTGATATTCGCATTCTTTCTTTCATGAAAATTGTAATTAAATCGAAGAAACTTTTGCGTGAAATTTTTTACGATTGTTGGATAAAAATTTATAGAATATTCAAGAGAATGCTATAAGAAGAGGAAAGAAGAGCTAGGCAGTAAAATCTTGATTTGCATAAAAATATATCGGCCTGCTTGTAAATTATTATGATTAGACAAAAAATTCAGGGAATCCAAAATTAATCTGTTTACAGGTGTCAAGCATATGCGAGTTAAAACTACCGATATACGATATTACGTATTCTATTAAATTTTCCCACAGATAGAGTATGTTTATATTCAAGCAATTACGTTTGAGACTTGTCGCAAAGCATACGTTTACGTGTATCCATACATACTTGTAATTTTTTATTCTTTTCCCATGCTTTAGATATCTAGATACATATCATTGGTGACGTAAAATTATATTTTTCATGAGAATGAAGATTTTTTTGATGTCATGTCCTCTCTTATTACACTATCTATCCTATGCTAATACAAAATTTACATAATCCAACCTTTACAAAACTTTACAAAATGTTATCTCACATACACATTAGAATTTTTATCACATTTTACGTCCATATCTCGAGATTACATATATCGACTCACACTCATCTTTTGATATTGAAAGAAGTATCAAAGTTATCAAATTTTATGTTATTATTAACGCGATGAATATTTATTATTTAGAAGCAAGAAATATTTTTCATGCGATTATTTTAAATTCCAACAACTTGTTAATTTCTAATCACTCATTGTGTGTCTCGTGTCTGATATCTTCAAAAAAAATATTCATTTTTTTCTGAATGGGAAGTCTCAGCTATATGAAAATCTAGAATTCAGAAAGTCGATGAGGAATTCCTGGTATGCAGGATCGAAACGCATTGGTACACTTTGGTCTCGTGGAGAGGCATACACACTCAAGCCCACTCACCTTCTTTCCTTTTCCCTTCCCTTTTTGCCGTGACTGCTGTGTATTAGGCCTCTGCCGAGATCTGCTTAGGCCGGCATTAGAATCGCACCGCGAACAGAAATTCTTTCACGTCGAGTCGTAGCTACCTACGGTGCGTGAGAACTCGTCGGGGCAAAATAGTTATATTTAATATCTCATACTATCTCCGCAATTTTATTGTGTGTTTCTTCAGTTTCACAATTCGCGTTCTGCTAACTTGACGGCTCATTTCTTCCTTAAATTTAAGCATAATAGACAAGCGTAAACTTGAAATGAGTGTGTATCACTAAATATATAAAAAGTAATAAAATATGTACATGTACACATGGGTTGAAATACGTGAAATATTACAAATGAGAAAGTCGAGGCGACTTTATATATCAAAATAAATCAAAAAGATAAAATATCATTTGATAAAATATCGTTATAAAATTTTAATTCCCCAAAAATTGACTTTAAAAAGACCTGACACGCTGAAAGTCATCAAAGTTAAAAAATTTAGTTTCAAATTAATCGAGGAATCTGTAGAAATATAGTATAATAGATATATATTACAGCATATTACAGGAAGCGTAATATAATATACAGAACTTGAAACCTTTTATACACATTTCCTTATTATTATGCAGCTCCATCCGCCAAGCTCGCTCGCTGATTTTTTTCCCATTAGCCGTAACCGCAGTCAAGGTAACAATGCAATTTAAGAAAAATATAATGAGCCCTTTTGTTATTTGAAAACGTAAGTTGCATTTCCCACCGATGCGATGATGACAAACGTTTTTATAGCGGATCACGTATTGTTTACGTATCGTATTAGTTGCGCAATACTATCAACTTGCACGCGATATAATCTATCTATGATTCAAATTTACGTTATCACGTAAAATTATATATACTTTTAATGGAACGATGGACTAGATTTACCTCTAAATTGAATAAGAATGGCATTCGTTTGTTTGTACCTTTTTGTTAAAGTACAGATACAGTTTTATAAATATATATATATATATATATATCATCGTGATAATTTATCTCACAACAGCTCACCGGATATTAAATCGTACACTCTATAAAATTATCATGAATCATTCCATTTCCAAATACTTGAAATAATTAAAACATATAGACGCGAGCTTAATTATTTATTTCTATCTTATGTTCCGATTAAAACAACAAAGTACGTATACCTATGCGTATTTCGTATAAATATTTGTTTATATGTTCATACTATATTATATATTGTAAATTATTTATACAATGTGTATGTTGATTGAACTAATGTTTCGAAATCTATTAATTTTTGTCATTGTACGAAACGACGATCGATCAATGCTTCCTTTATGTTCTCACGGTATCTATACGGTGGTATATCCCATCGTAAATTGCAAAATTGCCGCCGAATAACTTGCCAATGTCGGTGAAAGCGAATGAAAATTACTTATCGTTTAACGAGAATCTTCTTATTACTAATTCCTACGTGCCAGATAGATTTACATTTAGCGGCTGATTTGGCGGCTAATTTACTTGCTGAATCATTAAAAAATTGTGAATGCGAATTTCAAAGTGAAACGTCTGACTGCCCGCAGAATTAGAAGCGCTTATTTGTACTTTCGAAACTATAAACGAGTACAATCTGTTAAGTAATTAAGTCGCAATATATAATTTGAAGAGTATTTAGTTACAATAGAGACAAAAATTTGGTGCATTTACTTGTAAGAAATTATTATTCACATGCAAACATTGTTTTGAGGCAATTATAACTTTTTATAAAAATCATAATTTTTATTTTATTTTAATTTTAATTGCTAAATTATTGATATTTATGTACGTACAATGTCACCGCAAATTACTTTCCAACGAGTATCGAAAGTTTTATAAATGTTACATTTAATATATTTTCATCATCATTTTTTTCTCAGGAACTTCATTCTAGCATAAAATATCTCGTATCACACAGGAAACACATGATTTTTTCACAAACGAGTTTACATTTATATTCACGTCGTTCTCGTTAATATGATTTGGCGTTACGAAAGAACGCGATCAATCGCGTCATGGCGCGAATGTGTCAATTACGCAAATGCGATTGACAACTTGTGTTTGTTGAACATATTTACAGACTCGTTGAAGAGATATTTACATCTTTTATAACATCACGATGCTCGCATAGCGTTAAGTAGAATTAACAGAATGCAATTTTTATGGCAGAGTATATACATGTTTATCTGATATTTTTATTTGATTTTATCACATATATACATTAATAGTAATAATTAAATTGTAGAAACAGTCGCGCGTTTGCTTAACACTAGAAATGATTATGGAGGAATTTCTCTTGGAACAAATTCAGAATTCTTCGCATTCTTCGCACAGAGATATGTAAAAACGAGAGAACTATCGTGTCTCAGTTTCTCTTCTGTGTAATCTGAAAATAATCCATCGACGAGTATGGATTCTGTGACGCGTCAATTTACACGCGACGCGCGAGAAAAAAAGAAATCGGTTAGGAAATAAGAAGGAAAAATATTAAATATTGCTATGACAACCATGTCACACAACTTTGAAATTATTTATGAAATTATTTATATGTAAAATTTCAGTCGAGTATTCTCTCTCATAGTTAGATACACACGAATTATTTTCATTTTAATTTATATTTTTATGAATATTTTAATACCTCGAAAAATAAATTTATATAAGACACCTGTGTTATTTTAGAATATTTTAAACATTTAGTAAGCTCGAGATTACTTTTACCGATAATTAAATCAGTCGCCTAGCTTATTTCCAACAGATAGAAATAATACAAGATATATTACACAAATATAAATATAGATATTAGATATATTAAAGAATGTGATATTTAGGAAATCTTAAGACACGTTAATCGTACATAAATATTCGCGTTTAACTACGCGACTACTACGCGAAACAGGTATGGAAGGAAGTGAAAAGTGGACGAGACTGCTTGCGTTGCGAGTCGAACGGCAGCGGAGTGTCCGGCAAACGATTAGATTCATGAGCGTAAAATTTCACCTTTGAAAAATGAAGTTGAGGAAATTGGGAGGAGAGGCGGAAGATGACGTGGAAGAGGAGGAATTCCAGACATGTCTGGCAAACGAATTAAACACATTGGAATTTCACTTTGGCGAGAGGCAACGGGGCTGCTGGCTTTCTTGAGCGCCAAGTATGGCATTGCTGACCCGATAGCCGGATATACGCGTCGCGCGACGTGCAAGTATCAACGTTACTCATTAAGCTATTGAATCCGATTATTTCGCGCTTGGCAACGCAACACGATATTGTTATTATAATCAACTGCATGAATTGAAATAAAAAGACGGCGAAACTCGGCGCGCATAAATTAAACGGAGCGAACGCTTGCGAACGCTTGCGAACGCAAACCCAAAGGCCCAAGACGAGAAGACGAGAGAAGAGAGAGAGAGAGAGAGAGAGAGAGAGAGAAGATTTTCGTACGCTCGTACGCTTTACTCGCTTTACTCGTGAACGAATAATTATCCGACACATAATTCAAAGCTCCTTTCAACGATACATCTCGGATAATGGAAACTTTGGCTCTTCTGTTTCAGTTATAATCAGCGGGATACGTCCTTAGTTACCATGCCGTACTACAACAGTGGTCACAGCCCCGCTTACAACAAAGGTGAGCAACCCGCTCACTTGAATTGTATCGTGGAATTAAAAAGCTAATTATATTTCGAAATAAATTATCATTCGCTCACGTGTACCGTTTGTTTGGCAATTTTATCTGATTATTACAAATCTCTTTGAGGAGAAAATAAAGACGAAGAGTAGCTGCTTACATATAAACTTTGCAAAATTGAACGGAATAATAAATTGAGCAAATTTAACGACACTTAATGACATTGCGCAATGTCAGTTTAAAAGTGAAAGAATGAAAGAAGAGGGAAAAAATTAATTCACAATTAATTAAAGATTTGAAAGAAAATGTAAATTGGAGTATTATCTTAGAAGGATAGAGAAGTGATAAATTGAAAAAAGAAAATGTTACGAGTTAATTAAAGACGAGTTTTCCATTTCAGATGGTGGTGGTTCTAGTGGGCCGCCGAGCACTTCTGGTGGTCGCGCCAGCAGCTCGGAGCCGACGTATATGATGGAACACTTGGCCACGTTTACCGTCACGAAGGAAACCGGTATTGTTTATCCGGCGGATGGTATGCGCCGTCTCCTACAATTAGAGAAAAGCAATGGCATCTGGAGTCAAAAAATGCAGCTTCGTCTTGAGCGAAATTGGGTTCTTATCATGGACAACGAGACGGGGGTAATTTTTACAGATTCTATCGTAAATACTCGGAAAACACATCTATGGAACTTAACTATGCTCTCAATTAAATCCATAATAACGTTTTATGTCGCGCCTTTCTCTATAATATTCTCTATAATAATGTAACTGATGTAAAAAGATTGATGCATCTTTCAAAATCATAATAAAAAGATATCTCGTAAACGAAATTAATTGACGTGTTTGACGTGGTTAAGGATACATTTATCTGTATAAATTTATATCAACAACGTGTCGATTTGTCATGTCGCGCGAGAAAGTAGATCGCCCGCGAGATTACCGCGTATATAGTCGGCGACAATTTTAAACAACACTCTCTTACAACTTACGATTGAGAATTTCAGGCCATCATGGAGCGATTTCCGGCTTCCTTGATACAGGAACCGACGGCGTTTACCTCGAGAGATCCAATGGAGATGTATAACAATATTTTGGTATTCACGGTGGCCGATGACAGTGGTTCCGGTCAGCGAGCGGAAATGCATATATTTCAATGTCAGAGTGTATCGGCGCAAGACCTTGTCGAGGATTTGAAGATGCTGCAAATGGGAAAACTGGTCACGGGTGGCTCGCCCCGAGGTCCTAGAGGGCATATTCCTCCTCCGCCTGCCTTACCGCCTCCGGAACCACCTCTGAATGGCGTTAACGTCAGAGAACAGGTGTCCGCTTTCAATGCAGCAAATGGTAAGTAAAATTGCAATTGTAAAAGTAATGTTATCTATCATTAAAAATAATGCTTAGATAAATTTTTATTTGATGAAAACACAAATAGAAAAAGACCAAGTTGGAAAATCATAGTAAAATTTGCGTTCTGTTTTATTTGATTAAAGCTTTGCCGAGCTTTTTGAAGAATGGATAATAATATTTTTTACAATTAATATCGAACGTTTATAAATTTAATACAGCAGACGGCCAGAATGATATATCCCGAGAAGAGAATAACGACGAAGTGTCTTCGACGTCTTCGGAGAAATACGAGCGCGACGTGACAATTCTGAATCATTGCTTCGATGACATCGAGAAGTTTATCGCGCGTCTACAGCACGCAGCTGCCGCGTCTCGAGAACTGGAACGTCGACGACGTAACCGAAAATCGAAGAAGCGAAACCTCGGCGACGGTATGCTAACGATGAGAGCAAAGCCGCCACCCGAAATGGAATTCATTGATATCTTCCAGAAGTTTAAGCTTTCGTTCAACCTGCTGGCTAAACTCAAGGCGCATATTCACGATCCTAATGCGCCGGAACTCGTACACTTTCTCTTCACGCCGCTCGCACTGATCGTAGATGCCTCTCACGATACTAATTACGATCCAAATTTACCCAGTAAAGTGGTATCGCCTCTTCTCACGCGAGAAGCGGTCAATTTACTGATAAATTGCGTCACCAGCAAAGAGACCGAACTCTGGCACTCGCTAGGTGATACGTGGCTTATACCGCGTGATCAATGGAAAGGTCACGTACCACCATACCATCCGATCTTTATGGACGGCTGGTCGCCAGAGTATCCCATTCCCGAAGACAGGGATCACGATCATTTGGCGTCCTTGTTAAATGCGGATAAACAAAAGAGAGACGAATTACCGGAACAACAAAACGATTCTTATTATAATCACCGCGATGTAGATGAATCGCATTACAGCAGCGATTATCTGGAGTACGAAAGCCGAGAGGAACGTGGTGGTACGGAGTACTTTGATAGGAGTTATGGGCCCAGTTCGGAATTGTATGGCCGCGAAGAGAGAGTAGATCAGACTAGGGCACATAGCGACATTTCCGTCGACTCGATCGAGAGAGCTCCTAGAACAGCTGCCGGTATAGAAAGAGCACAGGAAGCTTGGCTGGATGAATTAATAGCACGCCATGCTAAAATTGTTCAAGTCACTTATCCACGAACGGCAAACAATGACAAGGAACTTACAGTAGTCAGAGGCGAATATCTAGAAATTCTTGACGACAGCAGGAAATGGTGGAAAGCAAGAAATTCCCGTGGGCAAGTCGCTCACGTCCCGCATACTATCGTTACGCCACACAATCCCGCTACTCATTCTGCTGACAATGACGTCTTTAACAATCCTCTATACACTAGCAGATATCCGAGGCAGGGGCACGGCTATAATTATGAGGTAAGAGTCATTAAGAAGTGAGCACACCTTCGAATAGTTTGTCGATGAATAATTACGGATAAATACGGAAGGTGCGAATGTATCTATATTAGTAGATGATTACTCGCAGAAGAATAGGAATGTAATTGTGATATGTAGTGTGTTTTACGCGTTGCAAAAAAAGCTTTAAATTTATTCTTCCAAAGTCAACATATAATATTAATAATAATATTAACAATCATAGTAGAGTAAATTATTCAGTTATAAATTTTTCATATTTGTAGTAAATTGTATCTTATGATCTTGTATCGCAGGATTCGGAGATCGAGAGAACTAGCACTAGTCCAGAAGCCACACATCGATCACACGCGATTCCACCGCCAGCGCCTGCTGATTGGGTGAGAAAGGAAAGACTCGGGAAAAAAGGTGAATTTCGATACTTTTAAGCCGTTTATTCAGCTCGCGATTGTATACGTCCTATTTTTATTCAAATTTGGGCCATTTCTGAAAATTAAGCATAAAATTGTAGCTCTTGACGTCTCGATTTTTTTTAGTAATAACAAATGTCTTCCAAAATCGATAGATTTTGTCTTGATTGATTATGATATTAAAAACGGTATATTAAATCCGATAAAATTTGATATATGTATATGTAAGGGATAAGAAAACGCATCTTAGTTTGTAAAAGAATTGTAGTATAATTTATCATTAGATCATCGTCCATGTCACGTTTCAATTAGCATACTCGTAAAGGGATATTGTAATATCTGGCGGTTTTTTTCTTGAACGTGTACATATGCAAAAGTGTAAATGTAGACTATGTGAATCATTCATACGATTGCACCAGGGACATAAGATTCCAAGTTTTTCATATACAAATTATTCTGACACACACGCACACGCGCGCGCGCGCGCGCACACACACACACACACACATCGTTCACAGAATGACGTTGATAAATTTTGTTTTTTCTATATGTACAAGTTTATTGCTCTTATATCTTTACGTTATCGAAATCATTATGTTTATTCTCTGTATAATTTACGACATTACAGTAAATTATACGGCTATTGAAAGAGTTAGCAAATATGAAGAAAGTTATAATTCATTCTATATGATATTGCTGGTCATAATAATTTTTATTCTTGAAGACATAGATTGATTATTTTATCGTCTTTTTTTTTATCATGGTCAGATGTATCGCTATCACAGACGCAGACATTGCAATCTGATAATTAGGAACGCAATAACGGTATACAAAGATATCGAAGGAAACTGTTTTCCAACACAATATGATATATTATCAGACACTTTGTATAAAAGTTAAGATATATTTTGGAACTATGTTTAGTGTGAAATTAATGAATAAGCCGTTTAATAACGAAATTTAGTTATTGGTAACAGTGACTATCAACCACAGATAAAAGCATAAATCACGAATCTCGCAACGCGCTTAATTAAGTGAAGAAAAGAAATGATGATCGCTTAGTATTTAACGTGGTTGAAAGTTACCAACTAGTTTCTAATGCTACATATTTCTGATAATCGATTATATCGTCATCTATGTTATCTTCTGTATTTATCTATGACTAACCAAATTTAGCTGTATTAGTTTATAACGCAAGAAAAGGATTGAATACGTGTTATATACATATTATTTTATATGTGAAAATGCTATGGCATTGAGCGTTAATTCGTTAAAATTGAGACTTTTTTCACCTTATTTAAAAAGTATATATATATATATATATATATATAACGATGAATTTAGTCACACAACGATATAATATCTATCGTTAGATATATATTTTCGTTAAAACTATAATTGTGTTTGTCCTTTGTCTTTATTGGGGCTTTATTGTGAGAAAAAATTCTATAGTTTTCAATAAAAGCTCTTGATAAGAATCTCAAAGAATATACAGGAAGAAAAAAAAATCGATTTTCCTGATGATATGATATATCACGATACGTTTTCACGTTTCGTTGTACACTTTTTGTTCTATCAATAGCTTTTATCGATGCAGCAAATCTTTTCGCTGATGCTGCTTGTATGTATCATTGTCGCATGCATTTTGTATGTATCAATGTAAATAAGCTTGTACAAACGATCGAAAGGAATACTAAAAAAAGGAATACTAAAAAGAAAAGAGCTATAAGAATGAGGGATAAAAGATTTGAATATTTAAACGACATAAATTTTCGTAAAGTTTAAAAATAAAAGTATGAGACATTGAATCGAAATCTCCTGTAATTGGTCTTTACACGATTTAATTTTATCATTTTTACTGTAACACAAAATCTATGAGCTTTTCTCTCGATACATTTCTAACTTTAAATTTTGACTGTCGTAGAAAAGTAAGAAAAGTACAAGCGTAAAACACGGAATCGATATTATCTAATTGATGTTATTATTTCTTGCATTATTTATTATCATATATTTAAACCTATATCAAAGTGTTGACTCATATGAGATAATAACTAGTCGATCGAGAAGTCAATGAGCAATATAATAATTGTGGACAAACAGTACAAGCTTTTGTTATTTCTTTTCTGTTACAGATGCATTCTTTTCACATTCCTTTATTTATTCTTAGAGTAATAATGTTATATCGTATCGATCGTATCAATAAAACGCTTTTTACAATGTGGCAATTTAGAATCGCGATGTATATTTTCCATTTATAATGCATAAAGATATAAATGATTACGCGCGCTATCTCTCATCTTTTCTTCACGATCGAGTCCAAGTATTAATTTGACATCTATGTGTGTGTCCATCGGGAACGCGATATTCCGTCAATATTTTATTATATTATAATTCATGTGTACATCAGTTATTATTAATAAACGTTGTACACGTGCGAGGAACCATCGTCATCTCCATTATTCCTCTTGTTTCCTGCGAATCGTAACGACTATTAGATAATTAATAATTATAATAAAATTTTGTTATATTTTATGTACTTTGATTAGTGCAGTAGTCAAAATGTATGTAACATAAATGAGACATCTATATATGATGAACGATGATTTATTACTTTACTTACTGAATTAGTAGAAATCAAATTTAGAAATTTAAAATTAAAAATATTGCGTGACGCTTAAACTATACATGCTTCGTATTTGTCCAATATACTTAAGATTGTGTGTGACTTGTGTGAAAGCTTTGGGGTAAGTTAGTCTTCACATATTTTAATAGCTTGTCTATATTGGTATGCATTATAATTTATTCAAATACTGACAGTACAGTAAATATTTTCTTATCTCGCGAGAATAATTATACACAAATGTAATTTCGCAAATCATTTTACAGATGACATTAATTCACACAACGGAACCATCAGTAATAGCGATAGGTCCAGCGTTTCTTCTATCGAAAGTATCTCTCAATCAAATAGACAGATCAATACACAACAAAGCATAGTAGAAGTGCACTCACCACCTCGTGATATAATACTAGATGTAATACCAGACAAGCCAACTTTATCGTCACCGTCGTCTTCATCAACACTACCTATACCAACACTATCATCAGAACTACCAATATCGAAATCGACGTCTATACTACTATCCGCATCTGAATCAATACCATTAAAGCTAACTACATCAAAATCAGCACCAACGTTACCTGTACCAGCATTAGATTCACCGACGATACCTTCGACACCTCTATCGTCTCCACCACCGCCACCGCCAATGCCAATAAAATCTGCCCCATTGCTTCAAACTCAAAAATCTGTACCAATAACTTTTATGTTTAATAAAGCGGAAACTTCCAAAATTAGCCAATTATCTAATGGTGAGTTATAATAATTCTATTTTTAGGTATTAATAATTATTTTTGTTTTATTTATTAAAGTTTGACTCGTAATAAGAGATGAATCGTGCAACAAAATGTAATTAAATAAAGCTTTTATAATTAACAATTAATATGTTAGATATATTTGTGATGTGTTATTTCCGAAAGGCATTTCCAGTCAAGAAGAAGTTCAAAAGGAACTCAAATTCGTTCTGAGGATATTCCGAGAGAGGAAAGCGAATTCCCATTCCAGCGATAACACGCAAGAAATTTGGTTGAATCAACACTCGACTCCTCGGGAAGTTCAAACTTGGTTAGCAGTCAAAGGATTCTCGCAAAAGTATATTAAGTTCATACAATATTAATACGGATA